AATACCATCAGAGTTGGTAGTTAGTAATGCCACAAATCAAGACAAGGCTAAGGCTAAGGCTATGATCTTTGTATGCAATTTTATTTTATAGTTTTGTTTCTTTTTTTTTTGAATATAGTCCTTGAAGTTTGTCTTTAAATTTATTCTTGATTTATTTGCAGTTTTGAATAGTAGCACCACAACTAATAATTTTACGAAACTTGAGTTTGTTTCCCTTGATATCTCGGGGAAAAACTATTTGTCATGAGTGCTAGATGCTGAGATTCATCTCACTTCAAGTGGTCTCGAGAATACCATTAGAGTTGGTAGTTAGTAATGCCACAAATCAAGACAAGTCTAAGACTATGATCTTTATTTGTTACCATCTTGATGAAGGCTTGAAAAGTGAATATTTAACTATTAAAGATCCATCCACGCTGTGGCTAAATTTGAAAGAACGATTTTATCATCAAAAAACTGTTATCCTTCCACGAGCTCGTCATAATTGGATGCACTTGTGTTTGTAAGATTTTAAAATGGTTACTGAATACAATTCAACGATGTTCTGAATTGTTTCCTAGTTTCAATTGTGTGGGGGAAAAGGTAAGTGATGAGGATATGTTGGAGAAGACTTTCTCTACTTTTCACGCTTCCAATGTGTTCTTGCAGCAGTAATATCGTGAAAAGGGGTTTAAAAAATTCAGAATTGATATCCGTCCTTCTGGTTGCTGAACAAAACAATGAGCTCCTGTTAAAAAACTACGAGGCTCGTCCAACTTATGGTGGGTTGCAGTATGTTTGAAAAAATCACAATGAGCGTTAAACTGGTTATTACGACTACGACCACGACCACGTCCATCATTTTGTCCATTACTGAACCGCACAGCTGTCGCATTTCATTCAGGAAATGGAGCAGTCCTAGTTGGACGAGCTTCATGGTTTTTTAACAGGAGATCATTGTTTTCTTCAACAACCAGAAGAATGGATATCAATTTCGAATATTTTTCAAACCTCTTTTCATGATATTGCTGCTGTAGGAGCACATTGAAGGCGTGAAAAATAGAAAAAGTCTTCTCCAACATATTCTCATCACTTACTTTTTCCCCACACAATTGCAACTGGAAAGTAACTCGGAACATTGCTGAATTATATTCAGTAACCGTTTTAAAATCTTGCACGCGCGAATGCATCCAATTATGACGAGCTCGTGGAAGGATAATGGTTTTCTGATGATCAAATTGTTCTTTCAAATTTAGCCACAGCGTGGATGGATCTTTAATAGTCAAATATTCAGTTTTCAAGCCTTCATCAAGATGGTGACGAATAAAGATCATAGCCTTAGCCTTGTCTTGATTTGTGACATTACTACCAACTCTGATAGTATTCTCAAGACCACTTGAAGTGAGATGAATCTCAACATCTAGCACCCATAACAATAGTTTTTTCCCGAGATATCAAGGGGAACAAACTCAAGTTTCGTAAGATTATTAGTCATGGTGCTGCTATAGAAAACTGCAAATAAATCAAGAATAAATTTAAAGACAAACTTTAGAGACCATATTAAAAAAACAAAACTTTAAGGACTGAACTGAACAAATTAAAACTTTTGGTGCAAATAAGTCAAGAATAAATTTAAAGACAAACTTCAGGAACCATATTAAAAAACAAAACTTTAAGGACTAAACTGAACAAATTAAAACTTTTGGGTAAAAATCACACGTGTATTTGCACATGTTTCGAGAACAAAGAGAAACTATGTATGTCAAACTGATACTTCAGCGAAGCAAAGCAATATCCCAATTTTCTGTCACTTAATTCGGCGTAACATAATTCGGCATCAAGAAACAAAGCAAAAGAAAACGGGTGATATATATATATATATATATATATATATATATATATATATATATAACCAACGAGGCAATATCAAGTTGTCAACACAAAGCGCAAGACAGACCGACTGAAACAGAGCAGACCGAAAGCATAATAACCGCACAAAGATTTAAGGAAAAAAAAATCCGCAAAACAATACTTACAAATTTTACTGAGACTTCAGGCCTTCACAATGAATACATACCAATTTCAGCCGGTGGTAAAGTATGTAGCTCTTTGTCTAGAACTTTTTGCTGATAACGTCTTATAAAATAAATATAAAATACAGAAGAAGAACTATGAGAGAGAGAAAGAGAGGATTCAGGTACATCTTATTCGATAGGGACTGACCTCTATTTATATACAAGTAGATACGGAGATATGATCAATGAATATGAATTCTAACTAAATATTATCTCTATATATGGAATCCTAATATAACTCTCCTAACTTGTGGATATATACATTATTAATTGATATATTTATATTAGATGGATTAGACGCGCTTCGCGCGTACGGTACACATAATGGCATAGTTTACATTATATAAAGGAAAAAAACATATATTTTTAATAATTAAAATGGTAAATGACATTATGTCTAATATACTATCTACAAAAAATATGTTAACAAATTTGTCCGTATTAAAAAATTTATGTTTTTACATTGTAAGACAAAATAATAGTACTAAAACCTGTCGTTTTCTTTTTCAACGAAAGTGATATATTATTTTGATTGTGAAGAAAAAAGGAAAAAGACCAGTGAGAAATAAAATAAAATCAAGTTTATCCCCCCCCTAAAGAACAACTTATAAAAAGAAGAAAAGGAATATCAAAAACAAAAACTAAATTTGCGAAGAAAAAAATTTGAGAAGAGAAAGATATAGTTGAGCAATGAAAGATGATAACCTCTGATAAACTCGAGATTGAGAGGTAAAAGTAAAGATTTAAATAAAAGAAAAAAAGCCTAAATCTTACACTTTTTATGATTATATATATGTAAATTTATGCTACACATGACTTTTAATATTCTTTTGAATTATGGAACAATCTAAACTAACATTGAGACACCTATTATATTAAAGAGTGAACCTCAAAACAAGTCATCAATCTTTAACATATTTTCATTCTAGATCATCAATTAAATTTATTTGTAGCACAGATTACCTTACTAAAGTTTTAATCCATTTCAGATCATTCTGTTAATTTTGGCCGTTAAATAGTGACGGAAATCCATTTTTCACATGCTTTTGGGTTCAGGGGTTTTTTTGTCATTTTATTATTATTTTTTAAATTTTTTAAATCTTTAAATTTTTATTTTTTTTTACAATTTTTCTTCTTATACTTCCTAACTTGTATACACTGGTAGTACAATTCTAAATTTTAAAAATTATTTAAACAAAAAGAAAAACTAAAAGAATTAGCTGACAAGTTATTTCTTCTAGGTTATTTAATTTTTTTCAACTCGATTGAATTTTTTAATTATTAATTTTCACGTTTCTTATTCCTTTTTTGTAATCTAGAAGTTAAGATACAAATGACAAATAATTTTGAAAATTAATTTTTTATTTGTATATTAACTTGTAGATTATTAAAAAAATGAATAAGAAACGTGAAAATTAATAATTAAATAATTCAATCAAGTTGAAAAAAATTAAATAATCTAGAAAAAACAACTTGTCTTAGCTAATTATTTTAATTTTTATTTTTTAAAAAAATGGTAAATTATTTATTTTCATGTTTACTTTAACTCGAATTTTTCTTCTTCATTTCTCAATTTTTTTAAAAAAAAATTTTATAATCTAGAAGTTAAAATACAAAAGGAAAATAAATTTTTTAAATTTAGAATTATACTACAGTGTATACAAGTTAGGAAGTATAAGAAGAAGAATTGTAAAAAAAAAATTTAAAAAGATTAAAAAATACAAATAAAATAATAAAATGACAAAATACCCCTGAACCCAAAAGCATGTGAAAAATGGATTTCCGTCACTATCTAACGGCCAAAATTAACAGAATGATCTGAAATGGATTAAAACTTTAGTAAGGTAACCTGTGTTACAAATAAATTTAATTGATGACCTAGAGTGAAAATATATTAAAGGTTGATGACTTGTTTTGAGGTTCACTCTATATTAAAAATTTTTTAAAAAAAAGAGAGAGAGAAGAAGGAAAGACATTAAGGAATAAAATGAGGTTAGAATTAACGAAACCGCTTTTAGGCCAATCAAATGCACCTAATTATGAGAAATTACTTTTGCAATCTTAAAAATAAAAATTAACAGTTAGAATCATCAAAATTATTTTATAGTGATCAAATTCACCTTATTATGAGAAATAATTTTTTTGTACTCTTAAAAATAAAAATTAAATGAAGGGAGATCAAAGGGTCATTATATTGTTTGATAGTAAAGGACTGTTTATTATTCTAAAGTTACATAAGGAACAATTTATTGTCACAAAGTTAAAGATAATTAGTAAGTGAAACAATAATGAAATAATAAGAAAAAATGTTTATTGAAAAATTAATGCCTTTGACTAAATTAAATAAGGAATTACAGAATTGATAAATTGCATGCAAAGTAATTAATCAACATAAATAATTCTTCCTGTAAAATGTTCTAATATAGTAATAATCAATGTATAAACTGCGTTTTCTACAACCAGAGATCTTTCCTGTTTAACTGTTCTATAAATTTTTTCTTTATTTTATAAAGACAAATAATGGTCCCACCAACTTTTTAGTTAGTCAGTAAATCATGCAACTATCATTTTTGCAATTCTTACATCATTATTACCATTTTTTTTACAAATAATACTATACATTAACATTCTATGAGCCATATTATAAATTTGTTTTTCAGTATAACCATCTATATTCCATTCATAAATACATTTTTCACTATAACTATTATTCAGTATGTATTCCTACTTTTCATGTAAAATATCTGCAAGAGAAGATCTATTATAATAATATAATAATCTTTGAGTAGGCTTATCAAGATATTTATTCAATTTTTTCTTGCAAATTCTTACGAAATTAAGATCGAAAATTTCTTTTATCCCCCCGGTTAACTTGACAAAAAGAGTAAAGAAAACAAAATAAGAAAGGAAAAAAAGGGGGAAAAAAAAAAAACTCCTAAAGCCATCGCGACCAACACCTTTATATATTCCACTGCGTTTAATCTTCAAAACTCAACAGGCAGCGGAGCAAGAACCCAAAACCCCCTACCGCAAAATAAACCCATCAATCGAGAATCTCTGAGTTTCTGCTAATCCAGAGCCAGAGAATTCGTAAATCGTCGCCAGAAAAGGAAAGGGATTTTCTTACAAGCATTTTTGGGAACCCAATTGTAAGAGGATTACGAACAATGTCTCGAACTCCTGCGAAGAGAAAATCCGAGTCTCGGAGCAGCTCATCCGTTGCCAAATCTGCCCGTATCGACAAATGTTCTGCTGGTGAACAAACCCTCTTCTCTATGTTCACGCTTCATCTTTTTTATTCCATCTCAGTTTATTAAATCGTTTGTATAAATTGGAATTTAATTTGCCGAATTCTTGTATATCTTGATTATCTTGAAGTGCACCATTACAAGAAGCTTAGTTCTTGCAGATTATCTTATTTGCTAGGTAACCCTTATGGTTTTATGTTTATAATGCGTGTATTGGTTTGTTCATTGCTCCATGTCTTCTAATCGAATTCTTTTGGGGATCTTGAAATGTAAATTTAAGTGTTTGGTGACGTTGGAACTATGATGGTTACAGACAACATTTATGATCTATGCCGAAATGCTATTTGATCTGATGTCGTCCATTGTCTTGTACAGTTTTAAAGGCCCTTTGTTGTATGTGATAGTTGATCACACCCTTCGAACTTCGTTATGATGTATGCCTTTATTGTTCTCTTTTAATTGAATGGAAACAGAAATCTACTATCAACCTTACTGGCTACTGGCTACTGGCTACTGGCTACTGTTCATGCTACCTTTTTAGTTATGTGGAAATGGAATGGCGGTTGTCCAATAATTTAGGTCTTGTGATGATATTTTGGGGAAAATTTGTCAAAGTAGCTGGGCCAAATCTTTCCTTGGAGCATGCAGAACGGAACATATTCATTAAGTAGTCGTTGCACTTTAGAAATACTTATATTCTTAAGCAATCTGAAAAAACCTGTAATGGTATTTGATTCTAGTTTATCTAGAGAAAGTGGTCCCTGTCAAGCCCTTTAGCATGGTCTACAGCATTGTTTCTCCCATTTTTATCCTTTAAGCATCATCTCTTTGGGATCATATGCATGGAGGGAAGTTGTGTTTTATTACATCTGTGCTGCATATAGCTAAGTTCTTAGCAAAGTTCTACTCTTTTAGCAATGCATCGAATTCACATGTTGTTTACCATTTGGTGTTTTCTGGTTCAGCTTCAAGAAAATCTACAACGAAATTGAGCCTACACATCAAGGACCTTTTCGATTCATATGTTAACAAGTCAATTGGCATGATTGAGTAAGTTTTAATGCGGAGTTAGTTTGTTTCCTAGTAATGGATATTTGAGGTACTATATATACTTATTATTTTTGGCCCTTGATAGATGTAGATCAAGTTCTCTTTTTGAAAGGTCTACCTTCTCTTTTTATTTGAGGTTGTGATTCTCCCAATACTCGCACCAGGGAAAACAAATAGTTGGATTCTACTTGCTTTAGTGAATTCTGATTTCTTTACCTTAGCTCTTGGTGTTCAAGTTATGTCTTCCTTATGAGTATCCATTCCATCTGGAGGCAATATGTCATTTTCTTTTCTTCATTGAAGTGATTTACAATAGTGAATTTTAAAAGGATTTATCTCCCTTGTATTTGTGGCCTCAACAGTGCAACATTGCATGAATCCATGATTGCGTCCTAGAAATTTGTTCATTGAAAGAAATATGATTTTAAAGAACAGTACAATCTTATCTATCGCTGTACTTGAAACTATGTGTTTGCGTCATTCGATTACTACCTTGGAATGCCATTGATATAAGCTAATTACTGTGGGATTATGCTGCAAATACTGAAGGAAATATATTATAATTATAATCCTAAAGGGCCATTAAATATACTATATATATATATATATATATATATATATATATAGGCACATGAAAACTTCATTTTATTAAATTACAGCTTGCTTGATTTTTCGAACATTGCACATATGGGAAACATATGTGCCTCCCTTTTCGGTTTCTCATGCAGCAAGCATCAGAAATAAATACATTGGGTAGTAATTGTGGCCGCACATTTGAAGCCAATGCTAGTTCTAGAGAGTATTTGCTCTTTACCCTTGTTATCTGATTCTCATGAAACATTGGCAAGCCCTTGTTTGGGAAATGTGTTCAGTAATTGCGTTAAATCTAAGATCGAGTTGCAAAGCTTCAACTGCTAAGAGTAAATTGTATTTTGTTTGTTTACAGTCCTGAAGGGATTGAAGCATTGTGCAAAGATCTAAAAGTGGATCATACCGATGCAAGGATTCTGATGCTTGCTTGGTGAGCATATTACACCAGTGTGATTTTTCCTGTGCCTTTCTTTGAGTATTCATTAATATTTTGTCCCTTGATAGAAAACTTACAATTAACTATTTCCAGGAAACTGAAAGCAGAAAAGCAAGGGTATTTTACAGAGGTGAGCTTAATGATCTTTGTTTCTTATCCACAGTAAAATCGGGCCTCGACTTAACATCCATGATGTTCTTTGCATAATCTTTTCTGTTTCTGTGATTATAAAAATTGAAGTTTTCAGGAATGGTGTGTTTGATTCTTTCTCATGTGTGGGTTTTTCTAAGTGCTTTGCATTTTTATTAGTGGCAGGACATCTTTCTCGTTTTGAGCTTGATCCCTGCTGTGGTACTTTCTAATGTAGAAAATTTTCATTCCTGTGTGGAAGGGTTCTATATTTTTATTGTGCAAAGCTTTTATCTTGCGTTGCTGTTAGTTTTAGAAATATGCATTTTATTACTTTGTGACTGGTTGCTGGCGAATGGAGGACAAGCACTTGGCACAACTGCAAGGTTGTTGCTTTGTGACTGGTCACGGGTTTGGTCAGGAAACAGGCTCTTTACGGAAAGCAAGAGTATGGCTGTGTTCAAACATCTCTCCCCATACCCTCGTGGAGCGGGAGTCTTTCAACACCAGGAATTGTTATTGCATTTCGTGTTCCCAAAAAGAAATATGAGTAGCAATATGAATAAATAAAGGATAAATATTTCTCTAAATTATAATTGCTGTTCTTGTAATAATGAAGTTCTTAAAGTCATTTTGAGGAAGAAGTGGGTGCTAAAAAGATTTTTCTGCTGTGATTTAGGGATCATTTTTGTTCCTGTGTTTGCATGGCATTCCCTTTAGATATTGCATGGCATTCCCTTTAGAATGTGGGTTTTCTCTTCTTTCAAGTGGTTCTTGCATTGAATTAAAGTCAGTAGGAGTGGGGAAACTGATGGCCATTGCAAGCAATTTTGTGTGTGGATGAAATAGTAGCATGCTCTCATGATGAATATTTTATTTCCTTTTTTCTTGCACTTTCAGTCCGAGTGGCAGCAAGGATTGGCAGCTCTTAAAGTTGACAATATCACCAAATTGAGGAAAGCTTTGCCAGGTTTGGAAACAGAGGTATACTGCTTTTTTGGTCATTAACATTCACTTCTTAAATTTGTTAAATTAGACCGAACTTCTTGCTAATTCTGTATTTATTTTCCTGTGAAGGTCTCAAAGCCTGAAAACTTTGATGATTTCTATAGGTTTGCATTTAACTACTGTTTAACAGGTAATTTCAACCTGAACCATTAGATGCTTCTGTTATGGCATTTCTGTTCCTTCAGATTATATTGTTTCTTTGCCTTCTTCTATGGTAGCAGTTTATTCCTTCCTGTGTCTCAGGAAAGTAGTCAACAAATGTCAATCGGAGCTGGTTGATTTTTCTGTTAAATGCCCTTTTTTTTTCCTGTTGAGAACTTTTTTCTTAGCTGCTTTTTGTGATGAAGTGTTCTTGGTCTTGTGAATTTTTCTAGAGGACAAGCAAAAGAATGTAGATGTTGATAGCGCTTGTGTACTACTGGACCTTGTCCTCAAATCAAAATATCCTTCCCAGGTCAAACACATGAAGCTCTACCTTCAGGTAGCCACCTACTTCGTTCGTCCCTCTCTCATTTAGATTTGGCTACTACTGACCGCTATGTTCATATGCTAATATCTAACAGTTTCCAAATTTTGCACTCATGTTATTCCTTCAAAACTTTTTTAAGGTGAAAATCAAATGTGTGACCTATAAACTTGTCCATTGAAACAGATGACAAATTTGTTTTGCTTTTCTTGTTGTTGTTGAAACATATTATGGGTTGTGTAATATATGAATGCTGTAAAGAATATCGGAATGGAATTGCAGAATCATTATTGAGAAACAGATTCTATTTGCAATACGTCCTAATGAGTGCTTCGAAATCAATTTCCAGTATGGAATCTGGTTGGATCCTTGTTGGTCATTTATATTGATAACATAATTGTCAAATAGCATTCATAGTCGAACCTTAATTTGGTTGGTCGTTGACAAAGTTTTTGGACTCATGATTTCTCTTGCTAAATACATAACCCTTCGGTGCTGAACTCAGAAAAACAGTCGTTATTTCGGTTTTTTCCTACTGTTTTTTGAACTTCTGTTCCGATTATTCGTGTCTCTCCTCCATCATGGTTAAACAGCGAGTAGTCAAGGTTTTGTTCTTTGCTTTTGATCACTGTTTTTTTTTTTTGCCGTTGGGTCGTTTATTGCATCTGACATTCGTTCTTTGCTATGCTTTCTGATGTTCTCGTTATCAGAATCAGAGAGATTATAAGGTGATAAACAAAGATCAGTGGATCAACATCCTCAGATTCTGTCAGGAGGTATGGTGGTGCTTTGCTGTGGCTTCCTGATTTTTTACTTTGCTGCCTTTTTTCTTTAACATTGTCCAGGGATTTAAATATAGAGCTAAGTCATATGCCAATCCTTCATCCCCTTGCCCGTTTTGACATATTGGAGTTATGTGTTTCCTCTTATTCAAATACTGCTTCATGAGAGAAAATTGCACATAAATTCCTTTCGACATGGGGCATACTTTACACGTTCAGCGTTCTTTCTCCTTTTTATTTGTAATTTGCAAACATCATCTGACTTCTTCGCCTCTTCTATGTGAAGGATGTTAGCCAAGTGTCATTTGCTGTTATGTATTGTCGTCGGGTTCAATTGCAAGAAACAGGAGTTTATCTCTTTCTTTTTCCCCTAGCCATAATATTGACACATACAAAGGAAAAATTTAATTTTCCAAAGCCAATTTAAAGCTGAATTAACTTGCACAATACTGCCTCATTTACCAGATGAGAAATGCTGCTTTACTGGGTCTCTTTCATTTCGGCAGTTTGAGAATTCATGTGCATTCTACCACCTTCTACAGATAAGCTTTCCGGACCTTGCGAATTATGACTCAGCTCAAGCATGGCCATTGATTCTGGATAATTTTGTGGATTGGATGAAGGAAACTCAAAGCTAACCTCGAAGAGGAGTTCAATTCTTAGTCCTGTAACAAAGTTTTGCAAAGGTAGCTCCGTTTATCATGTTATCCTTCCTCGTCCTTCTCTCCATTGAATTTCATGGAACTATTGGGTTAGAAATAGGATCGCATTAGGAAACCAACATTCAGACCCCGAGGATAAACTCATTTTGCATCTATTCTAAGATGAGTAATACTTGTGTTTGCAGGATTTTGCTCTGAAACTAACAAGTTTGCCTCGTTGCTAACCAAAGTTTTGCTGGTTTTGTCGGATGCTAACGGACATTTTTGAGAATAGTGCTTTTCTTCGGCACAAATTTGGATCTCTTCTATTCTATCCATATATCATTGCGGAAGCCTTTGGTTGATCTGATTTTGCATCAAAATGGTGTGCAACTATTGTCACCATACTGAGAGTTTTTTATTTTGCAACTACAATTTTGCGAGATTTTTTTTAGTTGAGAGAGATTTGTCAAGTGAAAGTATGTTCTTGATGTGGTGGCATTCGAAAGATACACAGTGAAATGATAACATTTTCATTATTCACTTCAGCAAGATGTTTGGGTGAAGGCAATTAAACAGAGAACTGTTTTTGACAGTTTTGCACAAACAAACAGAGACATTTGGTGTCCAGAATTCCTTTGCATTTATATCCTTGTGCTTCTCACACTTTTAGTATTATGTTATTATTGTCTCCATCCCAGATGAAGAGTAATGTTAAAAAGAGATCCAACTACAAGTTTTTGTCACCGGAAAAAATTATTCAATGACGTCCTTAATAATAATTTTTGTTTTTCTAATGCCCTTAATGAAAATTACCCCAAGATTTTTTTAAAACAGTGGACGAAATTTGGTCAGATTAAGGAAATATAAAAAATGTTTAGTTATACTATTATATAATGAAAATAAATTTTATAAAGGAAATGTAATTTTCATAATCCAATTATCTCGATCTCGACTCAAATTTTGATTCCTTTTCGTGTTAAGATAATTTCATTTTCTTAAAAAATGATAACTACTCTTAATGTCTCGAATTTCTAATTTTTTTATTAGACTACAACTAGTTTACAATTAAAAAAAGAGTAATTACTGAAATATAATTTACTGAAATCGTGAATGTTCAAGGACCTTCGATAACCAAAGTTTGACTTTCTTCTACTTGTTATGTACACATTTTAATCCTCGTACAAATAAAATTAATGAAAAACCGACCCAAATAATAACTCTCAATTGTTGTTGTCGGGATCTGGCTGAAGCTGCTCATGGCGTAATTCCTTAAACCCTACTTGTTTTTGTACATTTGCCGTCCGGGGAGGACCAAATTTCTCCGATCTTCTTCCAATGGCGGTCAATTCCCGGTTAACTTGTTCTCCCATAGCCACCACCCCAGGCCTCGTTTACGACCAGCGCCGCCACCGTAACCCTCGTCGTTGCAGCTTCCCCGCCACCACCACCTCTCTTTGTTCCCGTGTATTCCCCCCCGTCACCGTCAAGGCTTTTGCCCATAACCCGGAAAGAAATAGCAGCAGGTCCGAGAAACCCAAACCCTGGCTACCCCGGATTCCGTTACCCCCCACCTTTAAAGGTAATCTCTTAGCGGCGACACTGATCGGCGCCGGTGCCAACCTCTTGTATCTCCTTCTGGAAGCCGGCGGCGGCGGCGGACGTAACAACGCTGGGAAAATCGTTAGAGGAGGAGGCGGCGGCGGAGAAGCAGGACAAAGTTCGAGTTTCTTGTCACGGTTGTTCTCCGTGCAGGGGTTGGATAAAGAGGATGGATTGGAATCGGAATCAGAGTTCTACAGGGTTGGATCGCCGGTGTATATGCTGGGAGTATTAAAAAAATACACAATTTCCGATGTTCTCTTCTTCGATCGGAGGTTGAACGCATTCACCGATCCTACAGAGGATCCCCTGTTCAAATTAGTTAACATAAACCCTGGTCAGGTTTGCACCAGATCCCAGCTCCAGAAAGAGCTTGATAAGCTTACAGGAAGTGGATTATTCGAGGAAGTCGATATTGATTGTAAAAGAAATCGTGATGGGACGCTTCGATTAAGAATATCATTCTTAGAGCGGACATGGCAGCAGCTTCCGGAGAGTTTTCGGTGCATAAATATTGGAATGCTCCCAAATTGGAACCCCCGAATTGGAAGTTCAGGTGCCAAGGAGGAAAAAGGCAAGAAGGATATAGTACAATTTATCAAGGAGGGGATTGAAGCTGAATATAGTAAAAGGATTGAGAAGAGTGACGAAAGGCCTTGCTTACTGCCAATAGCTCTGGAGGAAGAGATTTCTGAAAGATTGAGGAAGAGGAAGGGCTCGGGCGAAATGAGTTCCAGGGTCTTGGTTAAGATAAAGGAGAAGGTGCAGCAATGGTATGACGATCACGGATTTGCTTGTGCGCAAGTTATTGGTTTTGGGAAATTGAACACGGAAGAATTGGTCTGTGAAGTGGCCGAAGGCGACATTACCCGAATACAGGTTGTGGATGTATCGAGGAATGACTCTGATGATCATCAGATTGCTTCTGTTGTTGAGAGTGTATTGCCCTATGGATTACGCAGAGGGGAAGTGTTTAATATCGAAGATGCAGAAGCTGCAAAGATCAATATTGATGCCTTAGGTTTGTTTTCTAATACTGAAATTGATTTAGGCCTGGATGAAGAGAATGGGGGAGGGGTTTTAGTTAAATTTAAGGTAGAGAAGAAAACGAGAGATGATTCTAGTGTAGTAGATGTAAGCAGTAAGAATAGCAGTTGATTTTTTTACACATTGGTATTGTTGTTCATGTCACAGTCTTTGAATCTATGATTATTGAGTTTTACCCATTCTTTGCTAGTTGATGAAGATCATATGACCAAATCCTTCAATCTGTTTGTTCTTTCAAACTTCTGCTCTGTTTGAACTCCTAAGCAGGGGATGACAACTCGATTCTGAATTCTTCACAGGCACAAGAACAAGCTTCATTTTTGCTCCTTTATCTTGGAAACGTTTTCATTTTTCCTAGCCTTGTCATTTGCATCTAATCAATTTGAGGAACTGGCGAAAATTGTAGTTACGTTGTTCATGACAGTCTCAGGACATGGCATGATTTCTCTAAACATAAAGGGGGCCGTCTTTGAATAGAACATTTGGTCCAAAGTTTTGAGCTCAACCAAGAAGGCTTTTTATGAGCTTCCGACAAAACAAAGAAGATGAATTGCTGTAAGTTTCAAATGTATTCCTTTATGAGTTTTCAATCACTCGGATTATATTCAAAGATGGCTTCTTTATGTTGTAGTTTGTTGTGGATTCAGAACAAACTGTTGGAGAATTTTCTTCATTTGCTTTTCTGTACTACTCCATCCGCATCGGTAACTCAATATGATGTAGCAAATCCTCGACTTAATCAAATAAGAAATACTCCCTCCATCCCACAAAAATAATTCACATTGAGTTTTGAGTTTTGTAGTATTTTTAGTACAAATTTGAGAACTCAATATGGACTATTTTTTTGGGACGGAGGTAGTAACATACTTTCGAATGTTGTTTATAACATCCTCCATCTTCAAAAAATAAAAAAAAAATTGTAACATCCTCGAGATTAACTTTCTTCATTTTTAAATTTTACATTTTTATCATAAGGGGGCACTTTTAAAAAAATTTCTAAACTATTGGGGCTAATTTCAATTAGTTTGAGGAGGTTTTCGTCCGAAAAACTAAATGGACAATAAAATCCATATCTTTGGATGAAACTGACAACTAGAACTAATAACTTTTTAACTAAGTCGATGATCCAAGCAAACATTAAGATTGAAATAAAATTGTTTTCTAAAATAGTTGTCCAATTTAGTTTTTCATTATTAGAAAAAAAAATGATATATAAGAGTACATAAAACATTTGATTTGCTTTGAGAGGATTTATATGAGCTTGTAGACTTCTTTCACATTTTAGTTAGGGATGCGTATTATATACTTTTTTGAGTCACCTTCTTATAAAGTACTGCTTTCAAATAACCGTTTTTTTAAAATAATAATAATTATGATGATTATTCTGAGAATGAAAGACTGACTCATTATATTCTAAATTTTTTTTATAATTCATACATTACACGAAAATTTTATTTACCATAATAGCTATCTAAGGATACTTTGTTCTATAATCCGTATTAGTTTTGGGAAGTGGCTTCAGAAGCCGGATGTAATATTAATCAAATAAACTTATCAGATGCACATCTTTATTTTAATTTAGAAATATAATTTTTTGGAGATGTCATAAATCAGCTAGTCAATCATCAAAATAGCCCTCTTACCACTGAAAATTTGCACATGAACAACCCCAAAAAATATTTTGTGCTCAATACAATACAATCTTCCACGAAGATTTTTTAACTCCAATAAAACCAAATTCAACTTCTAAATAAAAAATTCAGCTTTTGTGGCCTCGTAAAAGTGAATTTTAAATTTAGAAATAGATATTTAATATTATTATAATTCAGAGGAAAAAAATCACGGACGGTGGTTTGTGGGTACGAACATTTTTTCTATAATTTTTATCGACCGAGTTGATGTACATTCAGCAATTTTTAATCGTCCGAGGACTCTCTAAATAGTTGACTTACTGTTTAATGTGTGTTTTAATATTTTCTTATACATTAAGGGTATGTTAGATAATTAAATCTCAGGAGTGTTTTGATATTAACCTATAATATATGGGTCTTTTCCCTAAATAAATGCCAGAAAAAAGGAAAAGAAATTTTTATTTTAATTTTTTTTGTGGTCCTGAAAGTATATGCCGGAAATGAATTTTCCGTTTTATTAACTGTTATTTGAAAAATGGAATTCCATCATCCGTTTTCCTTTTTCTATTTTTAAAATTCTTAAAATTAGAAAAAATAATTCGTTGAAAATAAAATAGTTGGAAATATGGGAAAATCAATCAAACGGAAATAAAAATTCCGTTTTTATCCTGCATAAAAATCGGAAAATGGAAATCCGTTTCATAGTTGACTGTTTGTTAGATCTGTTATTGGTCTGACACTGATAAACTATACGAATCACTGTGGTACAGGCTTTAAGCATGAAAACGGATTTGTAACATCCGTTTTTAGGTTTATATATAATATAAAAACGGAAAATGGAAATCCGTTTTGTAGTTGTCTGTTTGTCAGGTTTATTATTGGTCTGACACTGATAAACTGTACGAATCACTGTGGTAACAGGCTTTAATAATAAAAAACAGAATTGTAACATCCGTTTATAGGTTTTTATATGATTAAGAATTGACACTGTTGACAGATCTTTAAGGTTTTGAACGGGAAGAAAAAAATATGAAGATCCAGCCAGTTTGAACTTGTTTTTTACGCCTGAAAATCGTTATCGTCAAGGTTAGTACTTTTGTTGATGTTATTTGTTTCCTTTAACCGTATTTTATTAAATTAATTAATTATTGTGATTATTAAATTTCAAATAGATTATTCAGTATAAAAATATTAAATTATTAGGAAATTCAATCTAGACTATTTTATTAAGAAATCTAGACTATTTTTTAAAATGCTGGATTGTTTATACAAATCTGGACTTTTTTTTAAATACTGGACTGTGTATGCAAATCTGGACTGTTTTACTAGGAAAATACTAGACTCTTTTTTAAATATTGGACTGTTTATGCAAATCTGGACTGTTTGTTAAATGCTGGACCGTTGGATGCAAATCTGGACTGTTGTATTCGGACATTACTGGCTTGTTTTTTAAATGCTGGACTATTTATGCAAATCTGGAATATTTTTTAAATACTGGACTGTTTATGCAAATCTGGACTGTTTTATTAGGAAATTACTGGACTGTTTTTAAAATTTTTTTCATTGAAAAAATCTGGACTGTTTTAATTGGAATTATTATATTTATGACAGGAAAAATGGCGTGGAATGGTCCATATTTTATTAATCTGTATTGGAGAAATAAATATGTTGTAGAGGATGGTTCGATCAGAACATTTGATTACAGCGCAGGCTGTCGTACTCTGAGTTGTTGGGCAGAATTTGTGATAAGGCGGGTTGGGATAGTGATTACGTAAATTTGAGAATTAATTTGTTGTTTGAAAACAACGGTGTAAGACGAAGGGCCACAATTACGGACGACTCGTAGGCGGAAATTATTTATTATTTTTCAGGTTCATCATATTTGGAGCTGTATGTTAAAAATGAAGACACGGTGCATGCCCAAAATTTGTTAAATCTGTCTGGACAAAAACAGGATGATACATTTGGGTCGCAACAGCAATACTGGGTGAATAATTCTCAATATGCAGAAGCAGGGCGTAGCACATTTGGGTCGCAACAACAATACTGGGTGAATAATTCTCAACATGCAGAATCAGGGCCTAGCACTGGGTCGCAACAGCAATACTGGATGAATAATTCTCAACATCCAGAAGCAGGGCCTAGCAGGAGCAGCGGCGATAGATACGTTGCTGAGGGACAAGGCGGGGTTCAACATGATGACTTTGATTCATCAGATGAGGATGATGAATCACACGGGACTTATGTAGAAAGCGAAGAAGAAGTTGACTATCAAATTGATGTGTAGGATGAAACTGATTTAGAAGAAGAACAACAAGAAGCAGAACCAGTGCAGAAGTTCGTCACTTCTGATTTAGGCCAGTATGAATATTCAGACATTGGTGATTATAAAAACAACATAGTGGACCGAGATGAATTTGCAGTGAAGATGTGGAAAGGTGAAAGAGAAAATCTTGATTGGGATACATGTTTCAAAACAGGGATGAAGTTGAGACAGCTATCGAGGACTGGAGGATACATCACAATAGGCAATATAATGTGACTATTTCTGGCGGTAAGTCATGGGCTGCAGAGCGCACGACAAGAAGAATGGAAACTCTAATTAGGCAATCTACTTGTGCGTGGAGAATGCGTGCATCTTTGCAGAAGAATGATCTGTGGCAAATTGTGTCCTGGGTTGATCGTCACAATTGCGTTGGAATAACTAGAGAAAATGACCATCACAATTTGAAGTCGAAGTTAATAGCCAAACTTATAAGGCGTGTTGTTGAAACTGATCCTGGTTTTAAGGTGAAGTCAATCAGGGATGCTGTGAATAAAGCTTATAATGTGGATGTGAAGTACAAGAAGGCATGGCATGAAAGAAGGAAAGCCATCGAAGCGTGTTATGGTAACTAGATCGATAATTTCACCAAATTACCTTAGTAATAATTAATAATTTATTATTTATGTTATTTTCTTGTCTTGAACTGTTTTATAAATGCTGGACTGTTGATGCGAATTTAGACTATCTTAGTATGGAAATTCTGAACTGTTTTTGTTTATGTTGGACTGATTATGCAAATGTTAAACTGTTTTAGTAGGGAATTACTAGATTGTTTATTGGACTGTTTTGTATATATGATATGTACATGGCCGCACTACAGAAGTCTAATCATGACACAGTTGTTGAGTGGAAATGATGAACACCGGGTCTTCAAATATGTTTTCAGGGCATTTGGTCCTTCCATTGCAACATTTCATAAGTGTCAACATGTTGTGAGTATTGATGGCACACACCTTCGTGGGCAGTACAAGGGTAAGCTTCTTGCAGGTGAAAACTGCTAACAACCATATCATGCCCATTGCTTTTGCACTTGTGGATGAGGAGAGCGAGGACAGTTGGTCATTTTTTCTCTATAATTTGAGGGTTCATGTTTTATACGACAGAATCACATGTCATATATCAGATCGGCAAAAGGGGATAATCAGTGCACTGAAAAATAATGTCGATCTGTGGCAAGAACCGTATTATGGATACCATAGGTATTGTCTTCAACATGTTCGAAGCAACATGGTGGCGAAACACAGAAATCAACCTGCGCGAACCAATTTGGTGTGCTGGAAAATGGGGAAGAAGCGACAAAATCACAAGTTTCTAAAATTCCAACAACAACTGAGAGAGTGAAATAAAGCAAGTCTTGCTTATATGAATGCTATTCTGAAAGGGAGGTGGAGTCTTGCCTACGATCTCGATTATGCACGTTGGGGCATCCTGACAACAAATATATCTGAAAGTTACAATAATGTTCTGAAGGGTGTTTGATTTTTACCCATTAGAGCTATAGTGGCAGCAACATTGGCCAAGACAATTAAGTTCTTTCGTGATCAGTATGTGGATGCCTTGAAGTGCAATACTCCTATCGGAGATAAGTATTGAAAGAAATTCTGTAAGTACGAGAATATAGCCGCAACTCATAAAGTGGAGGAATACGATAGACAGAACCAAGTGTATGGGGTCATTACAGGTTGGCGCCGTATAGGGAAAGGGGGAAATCAACACAAAGTAGAATACAGGGATTGGCGTTGTACATGTAAGAAGTGGCAGACTTATAGCCTTCCTTGTTCACATGCTTTGGCTGTATGCAGGTGAATTGGTGATCACCCAGAAAACATAATACATGAATGTTATAAGACGAGCACATGGTGTGAGCAGTTTCGTCATTCCAGATTTGTTCCCGTCCCAAGAAGAGAAGAATGGGTGTCTCCAGGATGGAACCTTGTTCTTGATTATGTCAATATAGTTCTGTATAATGCTGTAGGTCATCAACAACAACGGTGATTCTTGATGTTAATGGATTATCAGGGCAGGAGTGGACACAGAAGATGTAGGAGATGCGGCAGTCAAGATCATTTGACAAGGGAATGTCATCGTTCGCACCGTAGAGCTGATCGGACGAGATTGGAAGTGAACTGGGACGCAGATGGTTTCAAAAATATTGAATAGGACTGTATCCCTCTGTTGTGTTGATCAATTTAGCATGTTTGGTTCTGTTTGGATGTATTATTGTTATCTTGGTAGGATGTTTGATTCTATTTGTGTAATAGATGTATTTGAATGATCAATTTGGTTTGTATTTGGATGTATTATTGTTATCTTAGTAGGATGTTTGGTTCTATTTGTGTGATAAATGTAATCTGTAATATGTGTTAAGTGTATTATTCCAAATTTTTTGGAAAAAAATAAAGTAATAAAACCGGAATTTCAAAATCCGTTTTTAAGCTAACACAAAAAACAGAATTTGCACATCCGTTTTTTATTCTGTATAAAATCCCACAAACCGGCCCCGTGGAATCATTTTCTTCTCCATTACTAAGAAAATGTCAAGCTGGAGCAGTAGCAACAACACCAACAGTACCAGTTATTTGCATTACGAGGCATGTTTTTGCCCGTTATGCGGGAATAAGTGCAAAATTTATGTTATTTAATACGCCCAAAAATCCAGACCGTCTTTTCCATTATTTTCCTATTAACCATTTTTAGGGTTGGGCAGAACCAGTAGGAAACAATGCTGGGAGTAGTTTCATTGGCAACGGGCAAAGGAATGCGACTATTAATCACGAGTGTAGAAATTGTACTGGCAACAATCACTACTACAAAAAGGTCATGTAAGGACGCTCAAAAGTGTCCCGATATGTAGCTAATTGGGACGTATCGGCTATTGGGACACATGCAAGAGTGTCCTCCAGCTCAATGTCATAATAGATCTATGGGACGCAAAGAAGTGTCCCATTTGATTGAAGCGTCCCGTTAAATGTTTCCGATTGAGACACTCTTAAGTGTCCAAATAAAATTTTCCAATTGAGACACTCTTAAGTGTCCAAATAAATATTTCCAATTGAGACGTTTTTAAGTGTCCAAACTAGTTCTTTTTTGTACGGACGATTCAATGTGTCCCAATAGCATCTTCGAAAAAAATAAAAAAAAAAAGAAAAGTTCTAATATAATTATTGAACAATCTTCCATTACATCTCAAGTGACAATGAAAAAAAAATCTCATGGCCAACAAAAAGATGCACAAAATCTCATGGCCAACAAAAAGATACGTAAATCTCATCATTTGAGAATGCATACACTTATCTAAAGAACCAAAAAAAGACGCTAAATCATCAAAACCTTTGAGCTCAATCGTCAATGAGATTTTGTGTGACGCTCTAAAGTTTACTAGGACTGTTGGCCAACCATGACTGGCCAACTATTCTCCATGCCTCCATGCACTAGCAAAAAAGCTTCAACAACTCTGAGAAATTAGGGAAGACAATAAGGTTTTGAATAGGCATTTATTAAAACTTATGTTAGCTTAGTTCATATAAGTTCATAGACATGCCAATGTAAATTTGCAAAGCATACAAAAACCTCACTAGACTCCACTTAGAGAAATCAATCAAAAAGATTCTGCTACCATGTAAACCAAACCATTCAAAAACCAGTCATCAGAATGTATCTTTAAAATTGAACTAGAAAGCCAGATAAGGAAAAGAGAGGAAAAAGATCTCTTTCCTAAGAGAAACTGTTTACCTTAATCTGATAAAGCTGGTTTAGTTGGAATTTTAAATTGAAGATTTGTTCCGAGGGTTCTTGGAAAGTGCATAGTCCAGTGGGGAGTATAACAATGAGGCGATTGTAGCTCCTCGAAACACAGCATACTTAGCCACTGCAGCCAACTTTGTCACTAGTGGCTCCCCTTTCATTGCACCCAACAGAAATGCCATCTCTAACACTCTTCCTTCTTCCTCCCAATGATCTTAATGAACTTCACATTACATTTTCATCTCCCTTTTTCTATTCGCAAATCAAAAAACAACATCCAAAACAGAGGCACCATCACCATCATACAGTCATATCTACTTCCTGGTTTAGCCCAAGCATCGTAGATTTGCATGGTTAACAATAACAAGGATAATCAATAAACTTAATTTAAGCATGCACAATAATCACTGGTTATAATTCCCTACATAAAATACAACATTATGGTTTTTTTCCTCAGATTCACAAACCAGAACCCATCATTTGCCCAAATTATAAGTGTAGCAGCTTTAGTTAACATTTATTATTTCAATTTCAATCCTCTTAATCATCTAAATACTCCCTTACTCAGGCTCAAATTCTGCTGTTGATGCCATAGCAACAACAAACAACAACAATAACATTAACAACCAGAACAGAAACATCAACACCCTCATTCATCTTTCATTTAATATATAAAAATTCAGATACTCTGAACCCAAAAATGGCATGAACAACAACTAATATATATCTTTTCACATCCAAAGTTCACAGTATGACTTGAACAAAAACTTATAGATCATTTCCAAAAATAAAACTCTTCCCAAAGCTACTCAAAAGAGAAGGGGCTTACTGTGAGTATGTGCTAGCCTCCTTTAATAGCTACATCATTTCTGCCAGTAACTAAATTTCTTAATAACTTTCACATCCTTTCTGCATATCAATATATAAAACCAATGAATTAAAATCAAGTACATAGATGGGCAAAAAAAAAAAAAATTAATCCCAAAAAAAAAAACTGGAAAAAAAAACAAGAACCCATAATTTAATTCGAAATAGATGATCCCTGCATGATCAATATCTGGAACGCACAGCTTGAGCAGAGAATTGATGAATTTAAGTGGCATGATCCCTGCATCACAAGAAAAAAAGGAAAAAGACGAAAGAAGTACATGATAAGCTATGCAAAGGGGATATCATTGGTGTAAAACAAAGCTTTTAATCAGGAAACCATGCTAAACTACAACAAGTTGCTATAGAGTTTACTTATGAATCGGAAACCACATGAAAACTAAGACAACGATAAAACAAATAAATGGGGGACTTCACAAATAATTCAAGATTAAAAAGAAAGACAAGTGAAGAACCATACAGTTTTAGTTCATCATCTACTTCTAGCTTCTTCTGTCTAAGGGTATTCAGATTAGCACAAGGCCTGAAGCAATTTAGTAGCAAGTGCTTACGTATATGAACAAGGTGCAAAACATCAACTAACACGATAATTAACAGCAGTAACAATCATAGCCGAACATATTCCTAAGCATCTAAATATGTCCATTGGAAAGAAACAACTGAATCTTTCAAGTGCATATGTCTAAGTAATTTATCTCAAACACATTAGAGATCACCTTCCCTCAAACAATTGGAAATTAACCAAAACAACAATTCATTCAAATAAATCAATTCTCCATTTAAGAAAGAAAATCCACAGAACTGCAACTAATTGACATGATAAAAGACTATCAGTTAGCTTTCGATATATCTAGCTTTCTTTTTTTTTTTTTGGAAAACATATATATAATGGGAAGTGAAAACATTACCTTCTCTTTCTGCTCTGCTTCGTTTTGTGCTTGTAATTCAGCCCTCATCTGGGGTTTCTCGGTAATCCTTTTTTTTCCTCTCCACTGCTTCAAGAGCCTTCACTTTCTTCTCTACCCGCCGATGTTCTCTCAATTTGGCTTCAGACTTTTTTTCTGCATCTCCTCCTCCTTCCTTGCCAATTCTAG